GCCTCAAGAGCCTCCTGACGCCGTGACCTCGATTAACGAACGTCTTGCGCGTTCTCCGCAGCGAACACGTGGCCGGGGGGTGGGGGGGGGGCGATACCTATTTCACGTGAATTCTTTAATCCTGCATCACCGCGTCGATCCGCGACCCACAAACAACGCGTAATCGGTGACCTACTACCTCAACAGCGCTCCTGCTGTTCCACTGGACGACCGCAGCAGTTGCGGACAGCAACCGTAGAGCCGCGGCTGGCAAAATCGTCACACCGTAATGATCGTCAATGTCATTGTCATAAATGGCAGCGTCACCGCCCATCCGCTCAGACTGGCGGTTACGAACGATCGATCGGCAATCACGAGCGCACAATCTCCCCAAGGTTTAATTATCTCATGCCGTAATCCAGAAGCCGTTTCGCGATGACGTCCCGTTGCTTAGAATGCAACCGCGGCCGCGTATAAAACCACAGACGCGATACAGAACAAGCAACGTAGCAATGCGCAACGTTATTAGTTATATTGCCCATGAGATTCTCTCGACAGCAAACCGCGCGGGTGGCGAACCGACGTCGAAGCTAAAAGACCAATAGCTAGAGTACTGCTAAATTAATCTACCTATATAATGTGCGTTACGTACTACAACATAAGCATTGCAATTACTAAAAGCTTGAGACTGCGGAAAATGAGTATGGAAGCTACTGGAATAGAAATGGTAGGACAACAATTAATTAGGTATAGGTATATATTACTATAGCACGCATAACACAGCCATAGGTATATTATCTGCCAATAGAGAGTGGCGAGCCGTATAAGAGCACGCATAACACATCGTATAGTCATGTGCGAAATAAACTGACGGTATAGAAGGAGGAAGAGCATATATACGAGTATGTATATACACGGCACATTAGGTAATGAATATTCCGTTGTTCCTTGGTGGTATGCTCGATGCAGGATAACTCATCGCGAAGTGCAGAGTGTCGAACGGGGACGGCGGGGCGAGCCGAGTGGAGCCGAGTGGAGCCGTGCTGCTCGTGGCCCGGCCGGAGTTTCCACAAAGAGAGCGTAGCGAACCGTGCCGTGTCACTCTCCGGGTGTAACCAAGGGACGCGAGAGAGGACACAGGGCGGTAGGAAAACGGGCTGGAGAGTAAGGTGTTGTAGCAAACAGAGAGCAGCGACGCACAATAGATGCGCAGTTGGTAAATTACAGGCAGCCAGAACAATGGTGTGTGTTCTCCATAGTACATAGGCGTGCACCGGTGCGTATCCATCGTCCTCCCCCGCTACCCTTCTCTCTCTCTCTCTCTCTCTCTCTCTCTCTCTCACTCTCTCTCACTCACGCCGCTGGGCTACATACTCATAGAACAGACATTCCTGTTACGTGTATACGGCGACTATGCGCGTACACGTACATAGTGCTTGGTGTACATTTGTAGCTTGTACGGGAGGAGGGAGGGAGCGAGAGAGACAGAGAAAGAGCCGGAGAGAACGTGTTACCGTAGTTGCTCTTCTATTCCCCGGAGTCCACGTATCCCGAGGAGCTTAGAAAATTGCTCGGATTCGCGTGTACGGCTGTCTAGCCTACGGCCACGTCGAAAATTACTAATGCAACCAATTGGATGGATCTTCGACGACTGAGCGATCTTGGCTGGACAGGATCGATGGGACCCGATCGGGAGGCTCGATCCGTTCGTCTTGGGGGCTTAGAGGTAACCGCTACGCGTACACCGGAAATGAAACCGTCCGGTTGCCAAGGGTACGACGTACAATGGATATTGGGACGTTGGGCTTCCGTAACGGAGAGAAGGGATACGACTGGCAGTGGATGACCGTGCGGTGGACAGGAACCACGTGTGGTTTGGTGGAATCGCGCGGCACGTGAGTGCTGCTAGACGGAGCAGGCGTGGTGTCGTAAGGAGAAGTGGATAAATGTGAGAAAAAAGGAAAAATAAGGAATCTTGCGTTTTCATGGTAGCAGGAGACTTCGCGGGGAGCGAAGGGTCCTGGATGACGAGGATACCAGGGGTTCTTCGACGCTGAAGCGAAGACAGAGAAGAAGACTGGATGCGGAGATTGAGGGATGAGTGGGGAGAGCCGAAGGTGGTGCGGTGGTGCGGTGGTGCCGGTTCAGGATGATACAGAAGGCACGGAGTCAGGGTGTAGGGATGTCGTAATCTTTTATTTCTCTGATGGAGCATTCTTCCCTGACGTTTCCTCACCCTGGTTCACGATTCTTTTCACGCTCGGCAGACATCTTTTCCGCCATCTTTCCTGCTAATTACCCGACCCGTTTTTCCACGGCTCTCAAACCGCTGAACGGTCTCCCTCCTGCCCCTCTCTTTCGTGGAAACGACATGAAATATTCAAGCAGCCGACTCACGGCCGTTACTATCTGCAATCTAGTACACTGACTTCTAGCGCGTCTCGTCCTTTGACATACATACATGCCTGCTGCACAGGACACAGGCACTACCGAGTAACCCAAGTACTACTGCTACAGCAAGTACATGTACCACAACCCCATTCGATGATGGTGACTAAAAGTCAGCAGTGATAGGTATGCAGCATGCTCAATGAACAAGAGCCATGATTCAAGATATCTATAGGGTGGTGCATTGTCGAATGAAAAAATGAAATACAGGAAGAAACTCCGAACCGTCGTCTACGAGGAATAAGAATTCTAAATGGATTATTTAACACGATCAAAAAGACTATTGTACTTGGCATTAAGACTCACCTTGATAAAACGCTTGGCCTTGGTCAGAAGACCCAGCGTGGTGTGCCTCGAGGTCTCAGGGCCCAGTGGTACCAACACCTTCAACTTTTCGAGGCAATTTCTGAGGTGAGCTCTCCTGAAAATAAAGAAAAACTTTTTAGTACACGACACCAGGTATACTTTGATATCTGTATGTACAAGTGACAGAGCACGAGAATGGACATTCTACAGCAAAGGGACGCATCGTAATCGTGTGGCTCAGACAGTCGATACACTTTCCGGCAATTACATATGTATGTTAACGTACATACGTATCTACTATGTGGTTGGTAGGTATAGCCAAAGTCAAGCGAACCTTAATTCCTATAGGACAGACGATAAACTTCAGTCGCCGGGAGCCTGTTTCTGCGATACTCGAGAGCATCGATATTCCGTCGGTCCGCGTCTCGACGGCAGCCACACCGTCCGCCACTCCAGAGGACGGTTTACCGAGCATCGTAAATTATGCGAAGCCGGGATGCTCGACATCCGTGTTGTACAGTCAACCATACGTATCGATATACTATTATATATATATTATTATATATATATATATAGGTATACATATCTAAATAGAGACACAGGTAGGCATCAATACCCCCACGCATTAGAGGTTTCGCGAACGTCGTCAACGAGGGCCGATTAGGTTAGGTGTCGATCACGGGACAATTGATGTATATAAATATATAAATATATTCGTAAAACAGGGATATTCACTGAGAGCAGGTATATAGGGGTGGATAATGTGAACGAGCGTTAGTTATTCTCCTTGGGATTTCATGATGGTATTGCTGATAACGTATCTCTTAGAATTGTTCTAGGGACTACGGTACATAGCTGTCATATATATATATATATATATATATATATATATATATATATATATATATAAACACACAGAAGACGGTGGATATAGGTAAGGGAAGTCAATCTTCGAGAATTACACGATCTTGAGAACGTAGTAGGTATAACGTGAGTGAGGGTTGCTGTAAAAGGCCAACGAGAATAAGGGATGTAAATGGGACACGAACCTTTACAAATTGTCTTTGGCCTCTTGGCTCGCGACGCGTAATTTACAGAGGGAGGAAAACGCCTAGATGCCACGGCCCGTTTACCAAACTCCCGGAGAGGGGAAATAAGCAAGAGAACAGATAAAAAGGGTACGAAGGACCAGAAGAAAGAGTGCCATGGCATGGTTACGGGTACGGGAG